TTTGAAATTGGAGTGACGCCTTTATCGGTCGTTGAGGCGGGATGATGAGTGGTTAGAAAGAGGTTGAAGACTCAGAGGATAATGGTGAGTGCTGTATGATTGAGAAGTCGCCAAATGGAGATATGCATGTGTTTGCTTCCGACTTCGATTCGGTTGCGATTCTTCTTGGCTAATCCAGATATGCAGAGCATACTGAGCGATTACACCGGCACCACCGGAAGGTGAAGAATTTGTCTTTGCCGGCTGGTTTTATCCTTTCTACGGTTTGTATTTGGTGTGTAAATGTTTGGTTTAGTTGGGTTGTGCAGTCATGAAATCTTTACAGGTCGGCTTTTTGACCAAAAAAGATGCCATTGCCACTCCTCTCGTTCGCCATCTCCATGAGAACTCTCAAAACCCCCATTTTTCATAATTGAATCCCGGCTCCACGAGTATATTTCAGTCCCAAATCCGGAGAGGACACTACTGACAGGTGTTCAGCCTCAGTCCTCTCCTTCAGCGATTTGTCGGCGCATTAAGTGAAATGTTCTACATTTTTTTAGTTAAGCTATTAAATGCCATCGAGTCACATTAATTTATGGCAGGAAAGAAATATGATATGGTAGATTCCAATTAAAAAGTAGTAGAGACAAGCAAGGTGACTAGATAGGATAACAATTGGCAGTGGCGATCCAAGATACCAGGCTCACCATGACCGTACGAATAGAGTGAGCTGAGAGAATTTATAGATATTCATTACACATAAATATGTATTTTATCTCTCTCCAAATTTTATTCATTCTTGAACTGCCGAACTAAAAGCTTTATTTTGCCACATTCTCTCAATAAAAAATTATCTTTGTATATGACAGTTCGACAGATGATTTTGGGGTAGTTTCACGTGGATATCTGATAACGCCGACCAGTAGGCAACTAAATATGAGTGCTGCTTGAAACTAAACAGCAATTGACACCCCTATTTCCTGTAGACACAGTGGAAGATGTAGACTGGACAATTGCAAGCGATGTCTACGAATTAAGGGGTAAAACATTCTCCGGTACTCGAGTTCGGTCAAAATTCACATTACCGAATAAGTTGGGCCACAAGGTACTGATTCATGACTCTCCTTCACATCAATATCTCACTCCCATCGAGATCAATTACCACCTAAGACTTATCAAGTCTACAAGCACGACATATTACATGCTCATTTTAATGACTAAACCTCTCTTCGTCTCAGTCTCTGGTCTCATGCGGTCTCTAAACACACGCCCATGACAAATGGAAGCCCGCAGGAGGACAAAAATTGTGACGCGCAAACGTAGAAAGACGGTTTATCGGTATTGAAGCGAGAGAAATCGGGATGGGTAAACAATTTAATGCTGAAGATGGATAAAATTTTGAATTAGTTGAAAAATACTTTTTCTGGTGAGGAGTATTGGGTGCGCGAAGCCTTAGTTTTACAGAGTGCAGAGGACACTAAAATATTTACATGGCTAGATGGCCCAGTGGTGCAGTGGCACAGTATCTGGGTTAGTCTCCCAAGTAGAGTGTAGAAAACTTGAACACCTAGTCCACTCAAGAAAACAGACGAGTGCTTCGAATCCAGTAAGACTTCACCACATTTCTCGCAGTGTTCGTATCCTTGGGTAACTAAAGGATTTGAATTTCTTTTTTCGTAAGTACTCACAGGAGATGGTCGACTGTTTGTGTGAGCAAACACACCTTATACTGGTATTTGCGGTTGAAATATAGAATATGAGTGTCTCTGAAGCCAGAGAGTGATTTAGGGTGTAAGCAAAGCACAATCATGTGTCACAACTAGATGGCTGAAGACACATGAAATTTCATCATAAAAGACTGAGTGATCATTTTCCTCTTACTATTTATATTTTCATTGTACTCGCGTCAAACGGAGGAATTTTTCAAGAAGGATCTTCAAATCAATATATTTCCCGCGCAATCTTATGCGGAAAGGTTGCTTGTATTTTATATCAAAGTCGTTTAATGTGTATTCAGCTTCCTAGCTATGATACATGACCAGTGCCATGTATATATGTTGGGTGATTCTTTTGAAGTTGGAGACACAAGGTGTTCTGGAAACTCTGCCGTATTTTTGAACCTTCATACTTGAATGGAATTTCTTTCAAGTGCGTATAAAAATTGGGCGACAGGTCCCCTGTCAGAAAACGCTTTTCATGTCAGCGTTTTTGTGGAAGAAGTGACAAGTATACCACGAAGTCCCTATGATCTGATTTTGCCGCTGGAAGGCCATAAAGTAGGCGCAGGGATAGTACTATTTCAGGAGACTACCATCGACATATCTTCAAATCCAGACCTTTTCATCGAGCTGGAAATGATGAGCCACCATCAAAAGTCATTGTCACTGATAGTAGTTTAGCCCTGGTAGCACATGCCCACGTCAAGCTTCCTGGGAGAAAGGCTTTCACCCGATTCGTAAGATAATTCAAAATTATACTTGAGGCTGGGTTCAGGGGAGAAATTGTTATTGAAGGAGAATAGACTGAATCCCTGTCACCGATGCCCTTTACAAACCCGATTATGACACCTTATCCCCGTGCCGCGTTTCACTCGACTCTCTTGACACAGACGAAGTTGATTCACTAGGCAATGATTGAAGACTTCCAGTCAAGTCAATTGTTACTGATCAGGCTGTTTCCAATACGTAGGGTCAATTCTACGAATATGACAATGAAAATATTATTTCAATGTCCCTACTTCTCAAAAACTTAGTCAGGCCTCCAAATGTGCGACCACGATACTACAGAAATCTACAGGCAGCATCACGTGGTACCAGATGCATCAGGTGAGGAATATCAGGGCAGATAATTGGATTTAAGATGAGGATTGGAGATTCGACATAGGGAAATGTGTTGCAAGTTCGAAATGTATTAAGCGCGCTAAGATCGCCGTTAAAGAACTGCCTACGATACCACAAGCACGGGAGCGACTGGATGGTGCAGGGGTAAAACTACCGAGTAGTCTTACGTAGTGATTTTCAGATAGCTAGCATGCTTACCTACCCAGAAAGATGAAACCTCTAGCTCGAGTCCAGCAAGACTAATTTCAATTGTTGGCGGTGTCGGAGTGCTTGGATAACTCATACTCTTGGAGCTTCTCTTTGTCGGGTACTCACGAAGTTCGACTATTCTGTACAAACGAACACACCTCATGGTAGTATTTACAAATAAAATACAGAGTGTAAGAGTGTTTAAAGTTATCAGAAATCGAAAAAGTACTTGAAACCCTGATCACGTGTTAGAGCTGTGTATCTAAATACAAACTAAATAATTAAAAAAGTAAGGAGAGGAACGGAGCGATATATTCCAATAGCCGGCTTTGCGCCGCTTCTCTAGTTGACAAAATTCAGCTCTGCAACTAAATAGTGTCGTTCGCGAGATTTCATTTCAAGTTTGGCTTTTCTTCTCATCCTATGAATACTTGAAACGCGGTAATCCTTTCCAGTCCCAAATCAGGGTTACTCATGCCCCAGATAGGATATCCCCTTCCATGCCTGATCTTCAACCATAATCCGACAGCAACTTTCACTGACCGCTTACATGGACGTACAGCAAGTAGCTTGTGACTGTTGATCAAGTAGCGAGTATCTTGGCGCACTCCACCACTCTGCCAAACATTCTCCACACGGAAAGGATATCGCCGTGACGAAATCGATACGAGAAAGAATGGTAGGGGGATATTTGCACTATACTCGAACTGTGAGGTGAATGTCTGGGTCTCGTGGGTGGAAATGCTTGACATCAATGGGAAGTGCACACAAGATGCACGAAGCAGAAGAGGAGAAAATGGTATTTCTGTAATTTGATTTTTTAAATTACCTATTTACTTAATTATCTAGCTAAAGTATTTGATTGGTGCTTTTTGTGCAACTTGAATGGCACTTGCTAATTTAGACATTTTTAAATTGTCTTGTTTTGAAAATTGTTGCTGAGCTACATTGATGTGAACAACACAACTGATCATCGGTCGCGAGTATTCACCCAAAGCGAGGTTTCGAAACCTTAGTCACCTCACACTATCTTTTAGTCCCCAAAATGCTAACCACGAATAGCGTAGTCGGATCTTATTGGCCTTGATTCAGAGAACTCTTGTTTCAACTGAAGCGGGTGCCCAAGCTCCCCTTACTTCCCTCAGGAGCCTGTCGGAACAGTACGATACATCACCTTCCAACTTTGGGACTTAATAACAATATCCGAGGATTTATTATTGTTCTACTTGTTAATTTTCAAGGCGAGTTAAAGCATAATAATTCAGGAATTCATATGTGGCTGGGCGATGTTGCTATATAGAAACACCATACACTGAATATACGTCACTGATGATGTATGTTTCTTTTCCCGCGCAAAGGCACATGGTGTATATTAATTTCGCCGTAAATCAATCTCATCCCTATTTCATCCATTGTCGGACCTTGAGACTGATACCTGCTCATCCTTGGCATAAACGGTTGTGATCTTAGCCATTTCAAACAATTTCCTGCCCCATCTGATCGTTCTGTTTCCGAAGAAAGTCGGCATCCCCGTTTCACCCCTCGTCACAGCCTCAGCCGACTGGTCTAATAGTTTACTCAGGGTGCACCTGAAATCATCCCACCTGCATACCCTCCGCTTCCCGTATTTGGATGTTTCTCCGACAAAGATTGTTGCGAAAGTCAGTCTCCAAATTTCCACGGCGAAGATCAAACTGTAATTCGATCAATGTTTCTTAGTATGCCAAGTGATCTACTCCTGCTACTTGTGCTACGTTTCTGCAGGTGTTCACTATGAGCGAAGTTCCGACTGGTCGGATAAATCCGCAGCTCATAGACTCTACTTATATGAGTCCACAAATCCACCAATAATTTGTCAAACCTTCAAACAGCACTCTATCTGTTCACGGTAGGCACAGCCGAATTACTAATTAATCTGAGATTTAATAAACAATTACTGCTGGACGGTAATAAACTTGAAAAAACATTAAAAGTTCGAAAACACAAAGAATGCTCCTCATCACCGCCCTTTTACTCCTATCAAGCCAAGTATTTGCTTTTAGAACCATGGACAGCATGGGAATATGGACTAGATCCTCTATCTTGGAGGGTATGGAAAGGTATGCAGGACCAATTGATGGAATGGTTCAGCGACGACAGCTACCCGGTGGTCCAGGTATAAGCACTACCGGTATGAGTCCGAGTATCAGTGGAATGAATCTGACGGAATGGGATGATATGACGAAAATGGCTTGTTCTGAATCTCTGACGGCATTAAATGGGAAAGTCAACAATCCGTCTGGAATGGCCGTTTGCTACAATCTACCCTTCTTAGATAACAGCACTGGAGTCTTCGAAGCTGATCTTCGGCTATTCATGGTGGCCAATCCGTCTGGAGGCTTCATCAATATTGCAGCTGACAAGGTACAAGTTGGGTTGATGTACGACGGCGCAACGGTGACTCCCGTCAACGCATCATCACTAAGAAGAAGAGATACTCGATCTGTTCCTATGACATATCATTCTAAGAAGGGTCCCATAAATCTAGCCAAACGTGCAGTCGTTCCTCGGCTGATACAATCGTATGCATTCGTTGGGCAGATCAACAAAACAATACTACCCACTATGAATGATATGTGAGTTTATTACCGAATCTGATAAAATTATACTAAATCATAGCAGAACAGCTCTTCAGAAAGTACTTGTTCCAATGGTCACCCTAACCGCACTTGACACTACAGGCGCTACGCTCAATGCCTCTTTAAGCAATGATGAAATTACTTTTGTAAACGGTGTTTTCGCTGGCCCAGTCCTACCTACAAAAGCGACACTTGCACCACCAATCCAGACACTCGTTGTTGGGAAGGATGCGCCTTTTGTCGTGCCAGGGCTCAATCTCTTGATTTTCCCAATTGGTCTCATCATAACTGGAATTTGGGTCATTGCCTTCGTATCCACGATTGGATACGGTACTATTCGTCGCATCCAGCACCGTGACGAATTCCGGGAAAATAAGTTTAGGGCAGATAGAGATAATTTGCTGACTATCTGAGCATCAAATATAAGAAGATTGGTACAATTAGGAATTAAATATACAGCGAAAACTCCACCACAATTTTTATTCAAATAATTGTGGGTTCTGGAATCCAGCTAATTATGCTAAGCTCGACGATATTAGTATTCTCAAAGGGCGTCTGAACAGTCAGAAAGACCTTTGGAGGCTCAGATATACAATATCTACCAGATCGTGGGCTTCAGTAGGAATATGAAGAGTCAAATTTAAAAGGTACAATTAAAGCTACTTCAAGCATTATCACGTGGTAACTTACGGTAGTAGAAAACAAAAGAAAATGAGACTAAGAAGAAACAGAATTGTAAAGAATACAAAAAGAATTACGAAGATGTGCAGATTGATATGTCAAGATAATGATGTGCAAGTTAAGGCTGAGCCTTTTGAAGCACTTGAGTTTGGACAAGCCAAAATTTCGTGATACCTATCTGAATGAAAAGTTTCCAAATCACTAAGGTATAGGGAATAACAAGACGAGTGGTAGATGCATCTGAAGTGGATTGCAGCTCATTTTTTTCATGAATTTACTTTGGAATTCTTTTCTGTCGAGAAACTTAAGGGTTTCTTAAAAAGCCAAGTATTTAAACTACATAATTCTTTTAATTCATTTTTTCTCTCCATCCATGATTCATTAGAAATTTAAGCCTACTACAGCTACGGGATAAAGATATCCCTGATTGCTAAGCATATTCTCTTCCATCTCGGGGCATTGTTCCCGAAAACTGTCGGTGTTGTCTCCTTCGAACCTCCAGCTCTCACTGTAGAGTCTGCAGAGCCGAGGTTGAGTAACAAAGTCCTCAATTCCATGAGGATTCCCATTCGCTTTCGCGGTCTGTATCGTCTTCATCTCTAAGCACATTCCCCTATCACCACTATCATGAGGCTAACTACGATCAAATTAGATGGTAGGGTCGGAGCCCTACTCATCACCAACCCTTGATCATGAAGGAGAAGCAATCCGACGTATTTCCGGGGCGTACCTAGCACCCGATACGGCGATGGTGGATTGGATCAAGATGGCCTCGAATGTTACAAAGAAGGGAGATATAGATGAATATGCGCGTCTCATGTAGTTCGGGTGTCTAGGCCTCGCCTGGCTGGGGCTGGAGGCTTTTTGAGACTTTTTCCCGCGCACGCAGTTTACATTACCAACTTTTTTTCTTCTTTTTTTGGGGTAGAAAGTTCCGTGGAAAAGGTGGCCGAATTCCACGGGTAAACACTGAGCTGAATGGCTATTCATCAAGGGGAATATATCAATGATCTTTTAAGAAACATGAGAGGCAAGGAGCACTACACAAGGTGAAGCCTGGGTCTGAAAGGAGCCCAATGCGCTAGATACTCTATGACTTAAGTAGCATAATAAAACCATACACACATGATGCATTCGAAAGATTGATTGGTGTTACTCAAAATATTTTCCTTATTGTAGGTTTCTAATATAATGCTACTTAACCTAAAATGAACAGCGGCTTTAGCTCACTTGGGAGAGCGCCAGACTGAAGTTAACTTCGGGACTCACATCTGGAGGCACTGTGTTCGATCCACAGAAGCCGCAGCATACTTTTCATGACTCCAAAATTACGGTTCATCTCTGCAACCGTGATTTATTGCGGAAAAGCTTTAGGTCAGAAAGCCAACAGCCACCAAAAAGACGGCCAAGCCTTTTTTATTTCTTAATTTTCTATTTTCAGAAACGTAGTGTTAAAACTGATGGTGTCTTTATGAATGAATCTAGTTATTCTCACATGAAGGCCTTCGACTGTTTTCAATGATCGTCTTGCATTCCGATTTAGTATAATGGCCTGTTGTTATAGACACGAAGGTATACTCATGAGATTACTTCATGAGAGGCTAGGATTGATTCCGATATTATTTGGTGGAAGAATTGTCCCAAATATTAGAGGGCTACAACGTCCTTATCTATCTACATCTAAATTCTCCATATTCCAACCACGCTAGCCTTACAAGACCTAGCATATAACATTGGTTTGTATGACTGTTTTGTAGTTGAGGTTAACTGTGCATTTTGCCATTTGTGTTGCATGCCTGACTACTATCAGACACGCTCAGGTATAAATCTAATAACTCAAACCTCCCCCAATCCCTTTTTCTATTGCCACCTCGGGCATTACCAGGCCCAGCTCCATGGAGCACAGAATTCTAATCCCAGCGTAACTTGGCCTCTTGCTTCAGCGGAGGGAGTTTATTAATTCATTTTATTGTCCTTTCTGAATCTATGACTATGTAGGACATGCAGGTCCTCTCTGCCTACAGGCTAAGGATACCTATGCCAGTAGTATATCCCCTCCTATGCCTCCCATACAGCTCCTCTCATACAGTACCACCCCTCAAAAGTCCTCATTCTATCATATACTTAGAGGAGCCCTTTGCCCTTCATTATCTCCCCTCTCCACCCAACGAAGCGATGACCGTTTGCGGGTGTATGGCAGCCGGAAAAGAATCGCAAAAATCACTGGGTGCGGCGCTCTTCTTATACTGGCATTAGGACTACATCCGAAGACATAGTGATCCTTCTGAGGCGTTCGAAGAGGCCGGCCAGCAGCGCGCTGCAGACTTGTGGGTACCTCGGGAAATTCACACTCTGCCTTTCTAGCCTCCTTCCAACTCCTTCCGGAAGATCGTGCTGAAATCTCAGAAAAGTCTTGAAAGAGCGTGACTGCTGAGTGGTAGCTTAGCCTGGCTTCGTTTGTACCGTCTATGGCGCTGGGGAGTGCCGTTGACTCATCGACAAAAGAAGCCCTCCTGGCTAACTAGCCGAAATCTTGGTCTTGGCGCCCACAAAAAATCCAAAGTTGAAAACTCCTCGAGAATGACAGACATATCTTGACCTTCAAGACCTGTTCCCCCTCTCGATCCATATCTCAGGCGGATGTTCTCCCTCAAGTTGTTTGTCCTACTAGAGCAACTATCCCCCACAAGCCAAGATCCAGGCTTTGTATTTTCGACTTGATTTCCTCCTTGTGGGCATACGTAGCGTCGTAAATTTACAGTGGGTGATGGCCGGTAATGAATGAGGCAATCTCCTGTTTGAAATTGGAGTGACGCCTTTATCGGTCGTTGAGGCGGGATGATGAGTGGTTAGAAAGAGGTTGAAGACTCAGAGGATAATGGTGAGTGCTGTATGATTGAGAAGTCGCCAAATGGAGATATGCATGTGTTTGCTTCCGACTTCGATTCGGTTGCGATTCTTCTTGGCTAATCCAGATATGCAGAGCATACTGAGCGATTACACCGGCACCACCGGAAGGTGAAGAATTTGTCTTTGCCGGTCAGTGGAGGGAGTTAATATACTCAATGGCTGGGTACGTGTCACTAAGTTCTTTGATGAGGCACAACAACAGTATGATTCGAATGGAATCACGAATTGATGTAAACAATTTCTTCAATTCATTTTTGATGTAAGATATTTTGTTTCTTCATCTAGCACCATCTGAATATCATGAAATTCGTTGGACGGACGACCTCCATGCATAATTTAATCTTCGAGAGCAGGATGATAAGATCTTGGTTTTCATTTGCTTTGTTAGGTCTGTGTAGGCGTCAACACGTTGGGTAGTACAATGTAGACTGGGCGCGCACGATATTAAACACTGTAAATAATAGGATATCCCATGCCAAACCAAAGATACTCACAATCATTACTATGGCCCCATGAATGGTTTTAGCAGTAGCCTGCAACATAGCACAATTCGGCCAGACATCGTCGACTGAGACCTAATCCGAGCACTTCGATTCCGACTTCGGGAGTGAAACACCGTTTAAGAGCGAAATTCACCATCGAAATAAAGAGAATGGAGACTTGAGGGTAAAACAGGGATCTTTTAGAGAGGCGTCAATTCGTTTGGTCGAAATCGAACTCTTTCATTTGGCGACTTCAATCAAATATTGTCCCATTACGAATCTTAGACAGGGTTGAGTCTATGTGTAATTCTACTTAAATATACATGACACAGGAGGGCAAGAATAACCACCTGTACGCGGTGTCCTCTACGAACCGGGGAGTGAAAATTCCTCTCAGAGCTAAGTTCAGTCAAATTTCGCAATATCGAACAAGTTGGCCCACGAGGCAATGATCCAAAATACTCCACCATATTAATCTTTCATTCCCAATGAAATTGATTCCTACCTATGCCTCATCAAGCCTACAAGTACGACCTAGTACATCCTCATTCCAATGAGTATACCTCTCGTCAACTTTCTCTGGCCTCAGCTGGTCGCCAGATACACGCCCACGCCGATATTTACACCCGACGGAGGAAGCAAAGCGTGGAGCACAAATCTGGAAAAGACAGTTCCTTGGGATAGATCTGAGAGGGATCAGGACAAGTTGATAAGTTGATGCAGAGGATGGATACAGTCTCAACGAGCGTGGAATTTTGAATTTTGGCTAGGAGTTATTACAAATTGAGCTTTGTGCGTGCCAAGACTTCGGTTGCGGGAGTGCAGGCGACACTATAAACACTGCCATGATTGGATGGTGCGGTGGTACATCGTCTTGGTCGGTCTGCCAAGTTGAGTCTGGATAGCTTGGACACGTATCCCACTCGAGACAGTAGATCGCTGGTTCAAATCCAGCAAAACACATCCACATTTCTCGCGGCGCTGGTATGCATGGATGACAAAGGCATGCTTGGACAACCAAAGGTTCCGAAATTCCCTTTTGTGGGTACTAACGGAGGAGGGTCGACTGTTTGTGTAAGCAAGCACACCTCATAGTGGCATCTGCAAATAAAATACAGAGTATGAGTGTCTCTAAAGTCAAAAGAGTCATCCCACATGTATACATAGCACTGGTCACGTGTCATAGCAAGATAGCTGAATACACATTAAATGATTTAAAAAAAAATACATGACACTGCTCACGGTATTAAGTTTTCCCTTGGATATCTTTCTCAGCTAGAATCAATTTGTGATCCTCTTCAAATCTGTTTTATTGTAAACAGAAGCGCCTCAAATATAAA